TAATAGAGCCGATAAATTTGGCAGTGTTTCAGGATACAGATCAGCACAAAAATTAGCTGAGAGTTTTTATACACCTGAAATGAACAATCTGAAAGGAAATTAAGAAAACAATTGTATTTACTATAGTGCCTGAAAGAATGAAATATCCAGGAAAAAGTTTGCCCATTGAGGTAAAGACTTGTACACTGAAAACTACAAAACATTGGTTAATTAAAATACTTAAGAAATGAAAAGATATCCCACGTTCATGGATAGAAAGACTAAATATTGTCAGTATTACCCAAAGTGATCTACAGATTCAGTGAATCCCTTTCAAAATTCCAGTAACACCCCCCCCCCCCTTTTTTTTAGCTGAAACCTCATCCTTAGATTCATAATACTGGAGTGGGTAACCTTTCTCTTCTCCAGGGGATCTTCCCAACCCAGGGATCGAACCCAGGTCTCCCATATTGCAGATGGATTCTTTAGCAGTTGAGCTATCAGGGATGACCTATATGAAATTGGAAGGGACCCCAAATAGCTAAAATAATCTTGAAAAGGAATAAAGTTGGAGAACTCTTTCTTGATTTTAAAACTACAGGGACTTCCTTAGTGGCCCAGTGTTTAAGATTCTGCCTTCCAATGCATGGGGAGTGGGTTTGAACCCTGGTTGGGGGGCTAAGGTCCCAAATTCTAAAGGGTACAGCCAAGAATTAAAAAAAAACAACTTACTACAAAGCTGTAGTCATCAGAACACTGTGGCACTGACATAAGTTTAGACATAATGGAATAGAATTGAGAGTCCAGACGTAAAATAAATTGACACATCTACAGCCAGTTAAGCTGTAAAAAGGTTGCCAAGTCCATTCATTGGGGGGAAGAATAGTCTACAAGAAACACGGTGCTGGAACAACTAGATTTCCACCTGTGAAAGAATGGAGTTGGACCCTTATTTCACATCATGTACAAAAGTTAACAGGAATGGGTCAATGTACTCTTTCCCAAGCACAACGTTTTTTCCAATCAGAAAGGATAATTAAAGTGAAAATTATTTTAAAAGAATAGAGGTCTTTGGGAGCAGTACTTCTTTTTGTGTAGTTTATTCACTCTACAAGTTATTTATTAAGCAAAAGTGATATGATGGCTCTCTGTGCTAAGCATTCGAAATACACAACCAAACTCGTCTTTAGCTTTAATTGGAGTTTATCTTCTAGCAGGGTAAATAGGCATTAATAAAATGATTTCACTCGTGAATAACAACATTGATTGTGATATGTATATGCAAGGAAGCATGTGTGGTTTGAGGTTTGTAATAGAGGAATGCAATGTAGTTTCACGGAGGATTCCCTGAAGAGGGGGAGCTGAGCGGAGAGACAGAGGATGAGTAGAAATTAACCTGGTTAAGACCAGGAAGAAGAGAGCGTGGCTAGCTCCTGACATGTTCTGGGGGTTTTGATTGTCTGCAGATAGTAATGGGCTTAATTTTATCATTTTATCTTTTGTTTCTGACCTTTTGGCTACAGTGCTGAGTGGCAGTTTTCTGTCTCTGTGTTTCATCTGTCTTCCAGGATCCCCAGAGTGCTCTGTGCACAGAGAGTATTTAGCAAATGTGCACTCACTCATAGAAAGTATTTGAGAATCTACTGGAAGTTAAGTTGTGTCAAAGTAATAAAATTCTCAGGCAATGAAGAGTTTTCCCTTTTTAAATTTTTAAAGAAAGTGTATCTTAATTTTTAACCTCTTATGATTAAATAATGACATTATCAGGCAGCTACTTTTAGACAAAATATGGCAACTAACACCTTCATAATGATGATCTTAGAACCTATTTATATTTTGATTTAAAATAGAATTTTTTTCCCATGTGATTTAAAACCTTATTTTGAATGGAAGTGATATAAATGACTTATGTACTTTCTGCCAAGGAATTAATATGGACTTCCTAGAAACCACTGTCATTTATAATCAAAATGCTTTTAACTTACATTGACGTTGGCATTAACAAGTTTTGCTAGATTGGTAGCATAGAAAGAAAATGCATTTAAACTTACTGGGAGATCGTTGATGCCTGAGGCTTTATAATGCTTTCTGTGGGCCATTTAACTGCTGGCAACTTTAATTCACATGATTCATAATACTGGAAATTTAAATTCACTGTTAATTGAAAAGTGAAGTTACTTAAATTCTTTAAATACTAACCTTTGGGGAAAATATCTGAAAAATAAAAGCACATATGATTTTGGTGGCCTACTGCCAAAAGATTATCATTTACATAAATATCTCTTTCAGTAGAAGAGTTTAATGTATTGAGCTCAAAAGGTTAGAATAGAGACTTCAATCTGGAAACCAGCAGTAGACTGTTGGCTTGTGAACAGCAGTATTGTTCATCATATTGAGAACACTGTTCACATTCAAGCTTAAGCAGAGCTGGCATTAAAATTCAGTTAATTTGTTTCATGTGACTTGTCAGCTGTGTGTTTTTATCTAAATCTTTCTAGCTTCTCTTCTTAGCATTTTATGTTAAACTCCTGAAATAGACAAACTACCTTTTTAACTGTTTAAGCTCTGATACTTTGGCCACTTCTGCAAAGTGATTTGCAGAAATCTGGGGATTCCATGAAACCATTCTCTTAAGTTTTCCATTTCATTTTAAATATACTTAATAATTGGTTTGAAAGTCAGCTTAATTTATTGGCCTCCCAGGTGGTGCTACTGGTAAAGAACCCGCCTGCCAATGCAGGAGGCATAAGAGACACAGGTTCAATCTCTGGGTCAGGAAGATCCCCTGGGGAAAAAAATGGCAACCCACTCCAGTGTTCTTGCCTGGGTAATCCCATGGACAGCAGAGCCTCGTGGGTTATAGTCCCTGGGGTTGCAAAGAGTTGGACACGACTGAAGCAACTTAGCACATACACAGTCCTATTTCAGAGGATTTTTCTGTTTTGTGCACATGTGCATGGCCCCATAAAAGGGACTTCCTGAAATTCATTAAGATGCAATTGCCATCCCTGTTTCCTCACCAGCACCCTGTTGTGTTCTTGTTTGCTGATTGTGGTCTCTGAATTTCCCCTTAGATGGCTTTTAATAAATGGCTGCTAGTCAAGTGGTGAGCCTGAGGAGTAAAATGCTGGTCCCAGAGAAATCATGTTGCTGTAACCAGTATTAGAGTCAGATCCCATTTTACTTTTTTTGAAGGGCAGGAAAATCTTACTGTTTCTCTGAAACTAGACTTATTATAATCTCACAGTTAATATTATTAACTAGTTGGGAATTGAGTGTTTTGACGATATCTTCAAATTTACGGTGATTTTAAAAGAGCTTTTGAGATGTAATCAACATATAAGAAATGGCCATATTTAGACTGTCCAATTCCTGAAGTTTCGATATATATCTATAGCCACCAAATCTTCACCACCACCAGGAGAGAAGACACGTGACTTCCAAAAGTCTCCTCCCATTCTTATGAAATCTCTCCTGTTGCCTGTCTCCCCCCATTCCTGACTTCACAGTAAACCCTTATCCTCTTTCTGTCACTACAGATTAGTTTTTATTTTCTAGTCTTGTATAAATGAAAAAACTACAGCTGTTCTTTATTTGCTGTATTCTTTCACTTAACATAATTTACTATGAGATTTATCGATGTTGTATATATATATAAATAAGTCCATTCCTTTTTATTTCTAAGTAGTATCCCATTATATGGATGTACCACAAATTATTTATCTCTTCATTGTTAACAGACATTGGGTTATATCCAGGTTTTCCATCCACCTCCTTGTCTTTTAAGCTTCTTCACATTTTCCATTCTTTTCTCTCTCTATGATGTATTTTTACTTACTGCCTCAAATTAGCCCATGACCTTGCATGTAGTGGGTTGAAGCCTATGGAATTGTCAGTAGTTTACCATTTCGACCTACAAAATTGACAGTTTCATATAGTTCAACATAGAAGCGTTTTTAATTTTTAAAGCAGTTTTTAATGAATGTCACTTTTTTTTATGTTTAAGACCTCTGCCTGATAACAGTTATTTACTTATAAATTTAGCTATGTAAAAAGTTATGCATAATGAAAAATAGTACTATATTAGTAGTTATTGTGTCTGGTTGGTAAAATTATGTGGTTTTTTAACCCCCTCTGTTCTTTTGTACTTCTTTGTCTTATATATATGCTTATATAGTAAACACAGATAACTTTCTATTTTCTAATAGAAAATAAAACCTTTTTTAAAAATGGAAAAATCTATGCATTTTTCTAGTTTGCATAATTTATTTAGAGAGTATTCTTTATTTTTGTTTTCTTTGCAAGAATCATGGCAAGAATCATGGCATTTTAGGGACTTCTCTGGTGGTCCAATGGTTAAGATCTCATATTTCTGCTACAGGAGACATGAAAAGACCCCTGGTCAGGGAACTGAAATCTCACATGCCATGTGGTGCAGCCAAACAATAAAATTTAGAAAAAAGAAAGAGCCATGGCATTTTGTAATAAACATGATTTTTAGAGTTAGGTTCTTTTTCATGTCATGTGACTTAGGCAGACTGTCGAGTTTGTCTGAGGCCACTGTTCATGTGTGTAGAGTGGTAACTCAGTCTTCACTGTGAGGTAATCATTAACATGTGACATACCTAGAGTGTATGTTACTGTCCTTTTTCTGTTTTCCCTGCCCAAATTCTGCCTTTGGTTGTGAAAGTCACTCAGTTGTGTCCGACTCTTTGTGACCCCATGGACTGTAGCCCACCAGGCTCCTCTGTCCTTGGAATTCTCCAGGCAAGAATATTAAGAGTGGGTTGCCATTCCCTTCTCTTTTGGTTAAGGCAGTATAATTCTAACCTCAGACTTGTCACCTTAGTAATTTTGAAACTGTACCATTTATTTTGTTCCTTTTTCTTTAAAAAAATTAATGACAGCAAACTGAGTATTGTGTTACTTACTTTTATAAGTAACATATTTTAAGTTTCATGCAGAATTTGCCTGTCTAATAATGACTTTAATGACAATTTTCATTTGTTTCTTATTTGAAGAATATCAAAGAATATTCCGACAACTAAAGATGTTGAGCCACTGCTTGAAATAGATGGAGATATAAGAAATTTTGAAGTGTTTTTATCTTCAAGGACCCCAGTTCTTGTGGCTCGAGATGTGAAAACCTTTTTGCCATGCACTGTAAATCTAGACCCCAAACTGCGGGAGATTATTGCAGGTGGGTATCAGTAGTAAATTTAATTTGCCCTCTCTGAAATGCTAAAAAATTTTCCCATTTCTAACTTTTCTGTATAAGTTTCTCCTGCTCCATGAAAAAAATGGGAAATATTGAACCAAGCACCACCCAGGAGAGTTAATGAAACTGAAGGTGGGGGGGCCTCAGCATCCTCTGGGAATGCTGGGAAACTGCTGTCTGTTAAATTGACCTTATTATGTTTCCCAGCCTACACACCTGAAGCGTCACTGGAATCAAATTCCTTTTACCACACAGTCACCACTTTAAGCTGTCAACGCACTGTGATTTTTCTGTCACCAGTCTTCTGTCCTTAATAGGGATCTGTATCCAGAGCTGTAGGAAAGTTTATATTCCTTTCAAAGGTTAAATCTGTGGACTAGAACTTGATGATAATGATGTGAAGGTTTTGGATAAGTTAAAGTTGCTCTTGCTGCTGCTGCTGCTAAGTCGCTTCAGTCGTGTCTGACTCTGTGCGACCCCATAGACGGCAGCCTGCCAGGCTCTTCCCTCCCTGGGATTCTCCAGGCAAGAACACTGGAGTGGGTTGCCATTTCCTTCTTCAGTGCGTGAAAGTGAAAAGTGAAAGTCAAGTCACTCAGTCGTGTCAGACTCTTAGCGACCCCATGGACTGCAGCCCACCAGGATCCTCTGTCCATGAGATTTTCCAGGCAAGAGTACTGTAGTGGGGTGACATTGCCTTCTCCGAAGTTGCTCTTGAGGCCCTGCTGTATGCTTACGAAAACACGAACTCAACTTTTGTTGAAACACACACTCTTGTGTGTGATACAGTACTGCTGACCCACCTTACGTTTTCCATGAATTATGGAGAGGGAGAGAGACTGTACTTTCATATGTTCTTTTTAAAAATACCTGTTATAAGGCTGTTGTCTCAGGTGTATTTTCTGTCTGTGGAAGTGTTGGTGGTTGTTCAGAGGTGGATGTGTCATATGGTTTGCAAACCCACAGCCTTAGCTAACATTGTACTTACTACACAAGGATGAATTGCTAATATTTAGCAAAACTGTATCAGAATAATTGTTAGAATAGCACAAATACCTTGAAAAGTCAGAGAAAAAGTTCAGAGTTCTGGTAACTGAAGAGAAGAATACAGACGTTGGTGACCCTTCACATGGTGAAAAAAATTTTATGTGAAGTAGTTGAGTGCCTCTTACTAAGAATGTCTGTGGAGTATTCAGAGTTCCCTGTCTGCTTCTGTAAAGTCAGTTGGAATCTTTGGCAAGAGCGATATAATCAATCACGTTTCTGTCCAGTAACTAAAGGAGGAAGTGGTAATTGGACTAGTTACTAATGTTCTATTTTCTTTGGTTACTAACGTTCTATTTTCTTTTGCCTTCTGGGTATCATTTAATCTCTTAGACGTTCGAGCTGCAAGAGACCAGATTAATATTGGAGGACTTGCATATCCTCCTCTACCTCTGCATGAGCCTCCCCCTCGACCGCCATCCGGCTACAGTCAGCCGGCTTCCGTCTGCTCTTCGTCCACCTCCTTCAATGGGCCGTTTGGGGGAGGGGTTGTGTCGCCACAGCCTCATAGCAGCTACTACAGCGGTATGACGGGACCCCAGCACCCCTTCTACAACAGGGTAAGCAAGTGCCCAGCATTTTAAATTGAAGAATTTCTTCCAGGAAAAGGCTAGAAGTGTTCTGCTAATGGAGTCTGTTACCATTTGAAACTGTATTTTAGCTGTAAAGACAAAAAATGTTAAGGTTGAATGTAATATTTTTTAAAAATCAGAAGATTTTTTAATTTTAATAGGTTCTATATCTCAATTGAGCCTGAATAGTAGAGATGCTTCTTGCTTTGATTTATTGTCCTGATAAGAAAGTGAACTCTGTAGGGTCAGCAGTGACTGTCCTGAGCTTCAAAGCGATCTGTTTTTCTCTTGGTTTCTAAACAGATGTTCCATTTGTTGTATCTTGTATAGTAATTTATATTGGCATTTAAAACAATGATAATTTTTATCTTACTTCAGTAAACCTATCTTCAGTGTGATACAGCTTTTAAATGTGAGATAATGGTGGGTCCTAGTGCTTGAAGGACTCGGATGCTATTGGCCAGATAGTATGTAGTCTATTTCTAGAGTTTTATTTCACACTACCTTCAGTCATGTATAATTATTTTCATACCATAAATGTGATAATCTTCCACTTCAAATGATGAGACCACAATTCATTATCAGCAATATTCAGACCCTGTGGAGTTTAGTAGGTCCAAGCTATCCTCATTTTAATGGTCTTAAACACTAATATTTTCTGTAGGAAAACAAAACAACAGCCCTAGTATGATATTGGGTTGGTCAAAAAGTTCATTCAAGCTTTGCCATAAGATGGTATGGAAAGGCCTGAATGAACTTTTTGACCAACCCAATATTTTCTGGAACTGAACTCTAAAATCCATTGTTTCTTTATTTTTCTTTATTTTATATGTCTCCCTCTTTAGTCTGAAGTGAGAAAACAGGGGCTAGCATTCACAGAAGCCAATGCATGCCTAAATAAACTTCCAGTAAGCTAGAAAGACAGAGAAATTTGAATAAACATGGCAAAGAAGAAATTCTGAGTTTAAGTTTTTCAGTTTTTGAGAAATGGTAGCCATATAAGTAATTAGGTATACCATCTGTAGAAGTCTTATGAATGTTATTCCATCCTTTTACTCAAATGTGAGAAGGTGGAACGATAGCATTTGATAACGTACTTCATCTCTGTAAACTAACTGAGTGCTAGGCAATGTGAGATTCAGGTTTTTATTTAGCAGTCTTGAAATCTGCTGTAATTTTACATAAATGTCTCAACTGATAATTAGATGACAATTGATGTTTTGAGACCAAGAAGTTTTTTTTTGTAATTACCATACCATCTAGGTGGAGACTTTGTGTTCACTGATTTCTTATGTGAATAACAATGATGTATAATGCTTTAGTAGTGTTTTATTATTTTTAAAACATTAAAAAAATTTTTATGCTTTTAGATTTAGTTATTTTTTGTCTGAAAGTTAAAAGCAGAATACTTTTCTTAAAATGGCAGGAGTGAAAAAGGTAAGGGAAGATGTTACATCAGTATAATGAAGTTTAATATGTTTTAATCTTTATTTTTAGCCCATATAATCTGATAGCTCCTGTTTATATGAAGCTGGCTACAGATAAATCCTATAGTTATAGATTTCCTCTAAACAGTGGATTCCCCATTTAAATAATATCCTTGCTTATTTAGTAGATACAGTAAACTCCAGGGTATAAAATACAAAGTAAAATCTAGTAACTCAGAGTAACAATATTCCTGAAATCCATGCTAGGAGGTTCTTAAATAATTCAGACTGTTTTTTTGGTCTTACTTAAGGCTAGTCTTTTTTTGGTAAAAAATAATACTCAATCGAGAGTCTATTCTGCTTTTTTTGGTGAGTTTGTGAGTTAATATTTGTATTTGTAAATCACTTAGAACCTGACACATGGTAAACTGCCCATAAAAGTGTTAAATGTAAAGAGAAACTCTGGTGTCAACTTATAAAGTGCAAAACTTTAGTTGCTTTATAAAAAGATTGTATTAAATCAACAATATAAAAATTTAAATAATATGACTTAAGTTTGGGTTTGATATCTTATAGAATGTGAGTGAGGCATTTTTTCTTCTGTTTTGTCACTTGCATTTAAAAATTTGGAGTTGTATTTTGTTGGTTAGTTTCATTTGATAAAGCTCATTATACTTTGATTTCGGTAATTGTTTTGTCACATGTTTTCTCCATAGCCATTCTTTGCCCCCTACCTTTACACGCCAAGGTACTGCCCTGGCGGCTCCCACCATCTCATCTCACGTCCATCAGTAAAAACGAATTTGCCCAGAGATCAGAGCAATGGCCTAGTAAGTATAAAAAAGGGTAACTAAAGTATTACAGTCAGCATTAGAAGTTTGCTTATTTCCTTACTGTAGTAAAAGCACAACTTATTTTATAAATAGTTTCAAGAAACATAACCTATTACTAACACAGAATGTATTTTGTTTTTATTTTGGTCAGGATCTATGGAAGGAAAATGACTAGCAGCCTCAGGGAATGAGTGACGAGTTGTTACCAACCAGAGTTTCTGGCCTAGAATGTATTGTTTGTTATCAAGCTTTTATAACTAAACTTTTACATCTGCTAATATCTGATTTCTTTTTAAAGGACATTCGTATATGATATCTTTATCTATCTAAATATATGCTAGCCCTATGTATAAAAATTAGCTTATATATTGAAGGAACACTTTGATTGAATAGCAGGAATTAAATAGGGCAAGGAAATTATCCAGATGTACTATTAACTCTAATCCAAAGCAAAATACATTTGGGCCTAAAATTCTAGGTGTTCCTGATGATAAACTTAGTTTACCAATTTAAAGAAAGAAATTCCCTGTTAATGTTTTGTTTTTTTATTTTTAATTAGGAGGTAAAAGCTTTAGAACTTAAACTGTTATTTAAATTTAAAAATAATATCATTGAAGAAAAAAGTCTGATTACATCCAGGTGTGCACTGTCACATATTATTTTAGCATCCTGTTCATTCATCGTCCTTGTTTGGCTCAGCCCGTCACCTTTCACCCACACTCTTGTTTTGTGTTGCTAGGAAGTTATCAAGGAGGATGCTGCTGAGGGCCTTTCTTCACCCACAGACTCCTCAAGGGTAATGGAGTAGTCTTGTGGTGTGGACCGCGAGCCTCTCCCGCTTTTGCAGCAGTAACGACTCTTAACCGTGATGACAGCAGTTCACTAACTCTGCATCTGTGGTGTGATGGGCTGCTAGTGTAGAGTAGCTGAGTACTAATAATTATAGCTCACGGATTAATTAAAAAGCTAATGTTTAACTTTACCCTTTACTTCCTCCTGCTTTTCCCCTTTTTCAATGACATGGGATGGGTTTTGTGTTTTTACTTTTTTGGTCGTCCAGTAAGGAAGGGGTTCTTCCAGCAACCATCAGGAGCATTCACTTGGTGGTATTTGTTCCTAAATGTTGGGCCTTATTTTCACACTTGCCTGTTTTTTTCCTGAAATTGGTACTGCACGTGTAGAATATTTTTGAAAATATTCATAATTGACCTTGAGACTACAAAAAAGACATTGTGAGTTAGTTTGATGTAGACCAGGAATGGATCCTTAGTGACTCATGTTTCATCTCGGCGCCCACGCTTAGTGTAAATTCAGTGCCGCTACAGTGCTACTTTTCTTTACCTATATACAGCTGATCCTTAAACAGAGCAGGAGTTGGGGCACTGACCCTCCTACCAGCCTAAAATCCTAAGAGTCTAAATTAGAAACTAGAACTTATAGTCAGCCCTGCAGTGTAGTCTTTCCTCCTGATCTGTGGCTCTGTGTCTCTGGATTCAGACAACCTCAGATTGTGTGTGTTTGTGTGTCAGTCGCTCAGTCACGTCTGACTCTTTGCCATCCCATGGACTGTAGCCCACCAGGCTCCTCTGTCCATGGAATTCTCCAGGCGAGAATATGGCCGTGGTTTGCCATGCCCTTCTTCAGGGGATCTTCCCAACCCAGGGATTCGATTGAACCTGGGTCTCCTGCATCGCAGACAGATTCTTTGCTGTTAGTACTGTTATATTTACCATTGAAAAAAATCTGCATGTAAGTGGACCTGCACAGTTCAAACCTGTGTTGTTCAAGTTTCAACTGTATTTATTAAAATGTTCAGATAAAGCTAGTCCAGCATGTAAAGGGAATTATTTAAAACTTTCCCCTCAACATTTTAGGATGGGTTTCTTAAAAAAAAAAACTTTTGTAGAAAATCACTTTGTATATTTATTATTTAAGTCTTTGTACTTAATAAGTACATTTAGTATGATGAGACTTACAATCTTCATTCAGTCAATGAGGAATTTTAAGAACCCAGTTTGTATTCTCAGTTCTGTTGATTTATTTGCAGAATGTTATGCCCATGTAAACATGGTCAATTTAATATAAAGAAACGTGGCATAGCAGTTGGAATTAATTTAGTGAAGTAGTGCATCCTGAATTTATGCATAATTCTTAACTTAAAACATGCGCTTGAATAGGCAGTGGTTTTGTAACTTTAATTTTCTTTGAGTTAATATTGGTGAGATAGAGAATCATTTTGGTGTTTTCATTGAGGGGCTGATGATTCTTTTTTAAGTCATTAACATTTTAGCTAAAGTGTTTGAGAGACTTCATTATCCACAAATGATAGACACAATAAACCATAGTAATTTCATTTGGGTGTTAGGGGAATCTTTAGTCCATGGATCATTGCCACCATATGCAAGAATGAGTTTTAGTTTAGTCAGAGAGCCTTTAATACATAGATTCATGCATGCAATGCAATTGTCTGAGCTAAAATTCCTCAGCAAACTTTTGATGAAAGTTAGGTCCTGTGAAGAATTTGATGGTCTTAATGACAGAGACATGCTGAAATAGCTATTCCCGTCCTTAAGGACAAACACTTGTGAGTAAAAGGTGTCTGTAATTTCAGGGACCAGTGAAGGAGCATTAGGCAAATTTTAAAATGAGTTTTTGGGGAAGGGGAAATAATGCAGTTCTTAAGTTGTGTGTATAAGCCCAATAACAAAGAGTAAACATGCTCTGAAGATATTAGTGCCTTTGTTTAGTAAAATAACTGTAGGATTTGCTGTTCTTTTAATATTAAATGATAGTTTTGTTATCTCCTTAGTGAATAGTAGTTGCTTCCCAAGCCTTCTTTGCTTTTAAGAAATTAACAATGACAGTAGCATGTAGCATTTATTTTGCAGTAGACTAGTCCAAGTAGACACTTAGTTCAAAGCCATGTTAAAAAAAACAGTGGTGGAAATGTGGAGAAGTATCTATCCAGGGGAACATCTTATGGGATCTTTATAGCTGAACCAGCACAGAAGTAATTAATGTAAAATTTTTTAGCCCTTCATGGCTCCTATGACTTCCCAGGGCTGTAGTAGTAGACTGTAATTCCTGAGATAAGAAGACTGCAGACTGAGTTCATGTCTGCTCACTCAACTGTCTCCCTGTGGGCAGCACTTGATGATGAGAGCTGCTTATGGAAAGTCACTAGCTACATAGACATTTTTGGACAAATTGTCTTGTCAATGTGGACACAGAATAATGAGTTAAAAAAAACCCCACCTGATCACAGAGAGTTAACCAGCTCTCTGTGATCTTTTCAATATAGATGGTCTCATCTTTTTTTTTTTTAACCTCAAGAAATTTCTCATCACCCTTTATAAAGTGGATCCTTATGAAAACAACTGGGTTTTCTCACATTCAGGAACACTGTAATGACTGTGACTTGTGAAGGCCAGCCAAGGACTTACCAGGTAAATTACAGATATGTCCAGGTGTTTCATGAAGGTGAATTTGCAAAATGTAAGTCTCTGTGCTGGCTTTCTTCTTCTGTGATTGTATAGTAGAGAAAATAAGTGCCAAACCTTAGAAAACTGACAAAGAATACATTAACATTGGGCCCGAGATAGGATCCCCAGGATAATAGAGCTAGAAAGGACTCGTGTTTTTCAGACTTTCAAAGAAGAAAAGACTTTTTAAGAAATGAAATCTCAATCAGAATTTCAGTTTATGAAACCAGTTAAAACAAGAACTCTGGCCTCCACCTTGGCGGACTTGCATCGCCTCTGGGGGATCCTTGTGCTCTGTGCTCAGTTGTGCAGACTCTTTGCCCAGCGGGCTCCTCTGTCCATAGGAGCCTCCAGGGAAGAATACTGGAGTGGGTTGCCATGGTCTCCTCCAGGGGATCTTCTCCTCCCCAGGGACTGAGCCCACATCTCCTGCATTGGCAGGTGCATTCTTCACCATTGAGCCACCTGGGAAGCCCAGAGAACACCAGTACCCATGGTCTAGTCCAGCACCATGCTGCAGGTGTACCTGAACTGAGGCTCACAGGAGGGAGCCCTCGGTGCAGAACTGGAATCCGCATGGCCAGTACCTGGAAGCGTTCCTCACCACTGTGCTGCCCCCTTTGCCTCCGTTAATACTAAGCCTGACTTGGTCAGGAGCTTGGTGTTCAAGGTGAATAGGCCCTGGTGATTAGCTTTCTACCTTGGAGAAATTACTTAAGCTCTCTGATACTCCCTCATCTGGAAAAAGCAGGCCTTACCTCATAGGTCTGATTTAAGGATTACTCAGCCTTCGCATTGGAGAAAGCAATGGCAACCCACTCCAGTACTCTTGCCTGGAAAATCCCATGGATGGAGGAGCCTGGTAGGCTGCAGTCCATGGGGTTGTGAAGAGTCGGACACAACTGAGCAACTTCACTTCCACTTTTCACTTTCATGCATTGGAGAAGGAAATGGAAACCCACTCCAGTGTTCTTGCCTGGAGAATCCCAGGGATGGCAGAGCCTGGTGGGCTGCTGTCTGTGGGGTCACACAGAGTCGGACACGACTGAAGTGACTTAGCAGCAGCAGCAGTCTTCGTATACTTTAAGTACTTAATAATCATTACTATTACTACCGTCCCAGAGGCCAAATTCCATGAAACTTTAAAGACTCAGAAACGAAAACTGTGTTAAATAACCTTTCCTCAGTGGTAGGAGTGGTGCATACACACTCCAGGCATTTTAGATTAACTTGACCCTTTATCTGTTGATGCTTTTATGGCCCCAAAAGGTGGTTTGATTTTCTCAAATCAGTTTGTTTTCTTAGAATTGAGAAGGATTTCCAGGTTGTCTGAATGCTGCAAATACTTTACACTTTTGAAGGCTTTCCAGGAGAGTTTTACTTGGTGCCTTTACCTTCTTTCAGTCCAGGCCCCTCTAGGAAGTAGCAGCATTCAGATCACTCAGTGACCATGAAGGGATGAACCCACCAAGGAGGGCCTTTCATGAGTCAGGTCTCCTCAGTGGCATTTTGTTGTGATCTTTCAGAGAGTTGCTCTTTGAAAGAGTCATATTCGGTCTATTTTTATTTAAGGTGTGGCTGCTCATTTTTGAGAGGAGGAAGTGTTTTCTTGAAGAGGATGTTTTCAAAGGAAAGTGTAATGGAGGCTTTCCTTATCCTTGTATCCTTCCTTGGATTACTTACCATCAAGTCCTTCACATGAGTGTGTGATCATCCACTGTTTCACTGTTGCAGTGGGATGGGCAGTGAACAAAACTGATGGAAACCCTGGCTTCCTGGAGCTGATGGGTTGGAGGGCTGCCAAGAGGGGGAATGATCAGTGCTACCAAGTCAACTCTTTCTCGACCTTCTCTGCTGCAGGGTTTTCTCGGTATCTTTAGATCAGCTGCTGCACTGAAAAGGCACAAAACTGATTAGCACAACGTTGGATGGTAAAGAACTTCAGCGGCATTGTTAGGAGCAGTACCCTGCCTTCCGGTGTGCCGTTACTTTTACTTTTAGAAATGGGTGAAAATTACTGAATGAAAGTCCTAGAAATGAAAGTCTTGGTTTTCATTAAACTGGATCCAGTTGGTGGAGTGACCAAGTGAAAAAAAGGTGGGACTCCACTGTAGATCATTTTATTTCCACCACTGGTTTAGAACTAGTAACCTGTTTTCAAACAAATGGATGTCCAGATCACGCCGTCTGTCATCATTCAGGAGCAGGCTTGGACGAGAGAGCTAAGATGCCGTGGGTAAGGCAGGGCACGGTTCAGGTTTCCCTGGGCTGTAGTCTTAGGGTGGGTGCTCTCTGACAGCTGCCAGGACCTTCTCTCTGGGGGTTCACTCACACTGTCTAAATTGAGTAGTGCATTTTTATTAACTTCTTTAGTTTGGAAAGTTATTAACATTTTTTTCTTTTCATAATACAGTGAAAAATTGTATTCACTTCCAGCTTCAAAGTCTTTGTGCTAGACTTCAGCTCAAGAAAACATTTTTCCTAAACAATAAACTACAACTAAATTGGTTGAGACACTATCAAAGAAATAGGATATTGTACTATTGATACCATTGAGATCCTAGAGTACAGTTAAAAGTTAAAAAACCATAACAAAATCATATTTTGAACTTGAGTTTTTTAAAAAGATTGCCCTTTGCATGTGGTGTCAAACCTCATCTGTCAGCTTTAACCTACGTATTAGTTCTCATGTAATTTGAAGAGAAAGTTACATTTTCCAGCTTGATAACAATAGCCTTCTTTTGTGTTTTGGTATCTAGTAGTAAACTATAATCTCACCAATGCTCCTTTTTGATATTTTTTCAAGTTTCTAGAGATATTCAAAAGTACCTATAGTAAGTTTAACATGTAAACCAGAAAGCAGAGTTCCCATGAAGTGCTCCAGATAGTGAACATGTTAAAAGAACATTGTAAATTGATTCAACATTGTTAGTTACTTCTAGATTATTTGAACTAGTTTGAGAATATTTACCACCAGCCTAATCTGTGCAGAACAATAATTGATAGCAGTGTGTCAGCTATCCACTAGCCCAGTGGTTAGGATTCTGGACTTTCACTGACAGGGACCAGGTTCGATGCCTGGTTGGGGAACTAAGATCCCACAAGCCGTGCTGTGCCAAAACAAAAAAAAATTAAGAAAACTGCATCAGTAAAATAGTTACCTTACTGATAGTGTGCCAATATTTTTTCACTGTTACATTTATGATTTTTTGAGCTGCTCGGCAGTTATGGCCTTTGTTTTCAAATGATACGTCAGTGCATGCCCAGTGAAACAAAATCTAAATCTGAAAAGTATATTTCTGAACATAAACTATTAGTGTGACTAGAAAATGTTTTATGAAGAGATCATGTGAATTCCAAGTATTTAAACCTTGCTATTAAATTGACCTGCAATTAATAGTTGCAGTTTTTTTAGTTAGAATGTTAAAAATTAATTTTAAAGTAATTGTATATAGTAGGAATATTGACTTTTCATAGCAAATTTTATTTATCTGGTTTTCTTGTTGAATGTATGGCCCATGGCTTATTCTTTTAACAGGAAGAATATTAAATTTGAGAGTACAATTTTAAAATTACCAAGCACATGCTAATGAGATTAAACTGTCTGTGTGTGTGTGTGCGTGCACGGATGTTCGTTTATGTTGCTGTAGAGATGGTGTGTTCAGAGTTGTGGGAAAACAGAGTGACTGAAGTGCTGCCTGTGTTTATTACAGAAGTGTATTTGATGTTTTCCTTTAAGCTCGTGTCCTTCATTCTGTTTTATTCCTTCCTTAAAGCCGTGTGACTCTGGGTTTAACAAACAGAGACAGGTACAGAAACTTTCAGTGAAATCTTACTCATTTTTCTTATTTTAGGCTGTTAGAAGCATTCATTGGCAACTTCCCGCTGGGCTGTTTATAAACCTGTGCTCATTTCAGTGCCTTGAGTTTATTTTTAATAGCTGCTTTCAGCCTCTGCATGGCTCTCATTTCTGGCTAATCAATTCTAAGCTTGTTTGATAATTTACTGAAGATGATGATGTTTCAGAGTGTAGGTTTAATCTACTTACAATATAAAATAATATAGTTACATCAAAGTAATTTAAATCTGTTTTGTTAGTTTTACTTTGACCTGGAGGAATTCTGATTTGTCTATATTTTGAAGTTTGTAAGTATTTAACAGTCTTAAGCAAACTAACATCTTCTGCATTCAGTTTTCTGTGTTAGAAAAAGTTTTTTAGTAGATTGTGATATATACTGAAATGATCTTTCCTTGACTTGTAACAGGTAAATTTCAAGTAAGAATATGCGTGATAAACTCTTTAAGTATTACCATTCTATATATTAAGAACTTAACATATTGAATTATTGGCTATACCTTTTCCTTGTCAACTATTGTACTTTTTCTTTTTTGAGGTTTCTATCCAAAGATCTTTGTTTCGATACTAAGAGTTATTGTATATGATTACTTTAGAAAAAACTGGTCTAGTAGTTACCATTTCTCTTTTATTCAAAGTATATTGTATTTTAATATATTGATAATCTACTCTTTATCTTGATAAGATCCAACTCACAAATAATCAATAGTCTTGACAATAGCTTTGATGGAGTTACAGGGTACCCTGTGTGTCTTTTTCTTAGAAAACTCCTAAAAGTCATTCAAAGATAATATATGTCTTCTACATAATCCTCAGTGAGGGACAAAATATGTTTTCAAGTGATAAAATGTAGACGTCTTGAAGGATCATGAAAGTAAAACAATGTGGAGTTTCCTGTTTTAGAGGAAAGAGTAGTGTCTTTATTAACATGTCTGTCTTGCGGAATTCTCTGAGTCCCTTCTTAATGGAAATGTTAACTCTCTAACATTTTACATTTCCCCAGCCCCCACACAGACAGAGTTAATCAGTTCCATGTCTGTTACACTTGTTCTTTTTAACACAATTAAAAATAGAGTGTTTTTGTGATTAAAAACTTTTTTTACTTTAAAATAATTTTAGACTTCAAAGGTACAAAAATAGTATCCCCCTATTATTAATATCTTTCCTGATTATAGTGTATTTCTCCAGAACAGAAATGAAAATTTGTACAATACTCTTAATACAGGCTTTATTTGAATCTTGCCAGTTTTTCCACTAATGTCATTTTTCTGATCCAAGATCCAGTCCAGTTGTATTTTGTTATTTCTCCTTACAGTTCCCTAATCTGTGATAATTCCTCAGTCTTTCCTTGTCTCTTATGATTGTAAAACTTTTGAAGAATACTGATTAGATACTTTGATCAGATACTTTGACTGCCCTTCTGTTTGGGTTTGTTTACCGTTTCCTAATGATTAGAAGGAGATTATACATCTTTGCAAGAGACCCACAGAAACGTGATGCGTGTCCTCCATGTATCACATTTGAGGGTCTGTGAGGGCCTGCATCTACGCAGTGGTCATAGGGACCTCAGTTATGTGGTTAAGGCAGCATCTGCCAGGTTTCAACACTGTGAGGTTATGTCTTTCCCTTTGTAATGAATGAATATTTAGGGGAGATACTTTGAAACTGCAGATAATCCTGTTGCTCCTTATACTTTTCTCATGAATTTTGGTGGTGTCTTGTGTACCGCCCCTTTGTTGTGTTTTCCGGGTGGTAATTTTCCGTTCTACATTTACTAATTGGAATTTTGTAAGTAAAAGCTGTCTCTTCTTCCTCATTTACTTACTCACTCAACTTTTTATTTATATCAGTGTGGATTCATGGCATTTAATTCTGTGAATTATAATCCAGTATGATCATTATAATCCAGTTATAATCCAGTATGATAAAACTGTGCATTTGTGATTTTTCTAATCACAGAAGTGTAGACAAGTTTAAATACACCCAGAAAGAAGAGATAGGTTGAGGAATGAAAACATTTGAAAAACAGTATTAAAGATCATTTAAAAGATAAATACTGTTGAGCGATAAGAAAGAAGTATGAACCCATGCTGTAGCATAGATGAACGTTGAGAATATACTAAGTGGAAGAAGTGAGTTACAAAAGGTCACAGATTGTGTGGTTCTGTTTAGGTATCCCAAATAGGCAAATCCACAGAGACAGAAAGTAGGTCAGTGGTTGCTAGGGGTTAGGACTGGGTGTTGGGAGGGATGAAGGTTGACTGCTAATAGTGTAGAATTGCTTTTTAGGGCTCTGATAATGTCCTAACGTTAAGTGTAGTGATGGTGTCACAGCTATGAGAAGATACTCAGCATCACTGAATTGTGTACTTTAGATCAGAGAATTGTTTGTGAATTATATTTCACATAAACCTGTTTAAAAAGAAAGAAAAAACAAATATGGTTATTAAAAATTCATAGAAAGCATTTAAAGTTTCCATAGAAGATAGTGGGTCATTAACACTTAAATATTGGCTGTTCTCATCCAGGCAGAAAATAGGACTATGTATAGAAATATGAAAACTAAATTATGGAAATACTAGTGTTGTGCTGTACTTAGTATTTTTGAAGTAATTGAGAACCTCAGACCGTATAATACATGGCATATTTTAAATTTATATTTAATTAAAAACAAGCTATAAATAGTATATTCCAAATCATTAATTTATAAATTTTTATGGGGGAGGGGGGATCGGGATGGGGAATACATGTAAATCCATGGCTAATTCATGTCAATGTATGACAAAAACCACTACAATATTGTAAAGTAATTAGCCTCCAACTAATAAAAATAAATGAAAAAAAAAAATTTTATGGGACTGTCTTGCACTTGTAAACTTGCCGAGACTCCCTCTTATAAAATGACTACCTTACTGTCTGTTCAGTATGGTCTCATCTGCTAACTATATTTATATGTAACTAGGTATATTTTGCTTATATACTGTGTGTGTATATTTATTTATCAGTTCATAATAGAATATTATATTATGCTTTCATGTTGCAAATAATGTTTAACAAGTAGCTCCCAGGCAGTTTTGGCTGTCAGAGTCTACTTTTGTCTTGATGATGACAAAAGAGGCAGTAGAAAGTTTAAACTGACACATCCTTGGGGATAGGATAAATGATATTTATCATTTTAAGACTAAATTGACTGGTAAACAAGACAGATCATTTGTAACATTATCCTCTATACTAGTTGACTTGTCTTCTCTTTATTTTGGTTATAGTTTCTGTAAACTCTTTAAAGATAGACAGTGGCAACAAAGAAAATAAGAAGTTGTAAGACCTGTTAGGCTAGGGTTCCGATCTGAATCTACCACTAACTAGCTGTTTATTCTGTGAGTTTGAAGCCAAAACTTACGTCTTTGGACCCCAGTGACCACATCTGTAATTGAGGAGATTTGTATGTAATTAGCCACAGGCAAATACTTCTTTAGTATGTCTCTGTATTCAGAAAATATTTTTCTTCTTAGTAAACACTAGGTTTATTATTTTGATTTTTCTTTTAAATGAGACTGAATTTTGATGGATTATATTTGCTTCCACATGTGTTAAGAAGTAGTACTGTTGTTTTATATTTACACGATTATTGTATAGGTTCTTAAGGGGAGGTTTTAGATCTCTTGGATATAAAATATGATCAAGATCTGAAAACTTCAGCTGTTGTAGACTGTTAAGGTAATCTGTGAAGACATTTAAAGCTGCTGAGTGTCAGCACTTTTAAAATTATCTCATAGGTTTACCTTTTGTATTTTTTTTGTATGTTATAGGCATCAGTAATTCCCCCATTCCTTTTTTTTAAGCCTCTGTCTTTCTGTTATTAAGGGCTCCACGTTTCTCTCTTGAGATTTGAGGTTAGGCTTTCTTGAAGTTGGCCTTGGGTTGGCTCATGGAACTTCTGTCTTCTTAGAAAAGTGGTTTCGATCAGGCTGTATCTGCTATAATAAAAGATACTCTTTAAGGTAAACAGTAGCTGAATCTGTTCTCTAATGGCATGTCCCATGCTGCACACATTCACTGTTTTTACTTAAGTTTGAAAATGTATCTTTAATTGAAGTACTTTATAGTGTAACTTCATAAATATTTCTCTGTCACATGACTGCATGTATCTGACATTAAATGCTGTTTATACATGTGTTTTCCCACGACTTACCTAGGGATCAGGCCCAGCCTCAGGTGCAGTGCCACTGAATTCAATGAACGTGGATGCGGTTTGTGAGAAACTGAAACAAATCGAAGGGCTGGACCAGAGCATGCTGCCTCAGTACTGTGCAACCATCAAAAAGGTGACCTGCACTTTTACCTGCTCACTCGAGGGTGCGGGAGGCGGGCTCTGTGGACAGCGAGCATTTTCTATTTAGGCTATTAAAGATGAGTTCTCTGCTGAGATGGGAAAGCTCAGGTGGAATTTGTATCCTAAAATTGCCCTTTCATGCCTTAGTTTAGAGATGGATAAAAGAAAGTGCTGTGTTATAGTGCTACTTCACAATGATCTCATGTAAGTCAAAAGTGCTTTGATGAGAAATATTGATTGAAAGCTCTAAAGGATTTCACATTAAGGTTGACAACTACTTATATTTCCAGTATGCAGCATAGAACATTTGAAAGCCTTTTCTTTTATGTTACACTTTCTTTCATTGTAATATTTGTGATTTAACAATTATCCAAGTAAACCATAAACCATGTTTGCTTCATTTCCCTCTAATTCTCACTTTCATGTCTTAGAGGACTCTGATCATGTCCCATTTGATAATACCTCTGAGTTTTGGGTTTGCAAGGCTGACACACTTGAGGTTCTTTTCTTCCTAGATCTTTTCTTGCAGTTCTAGTAACTACTTTGAACCTGAGATTTCAAGGTGTCTTCCCATGAACAGGGCTAACTGAGCCCCAGTTTTAATAGGTATTTCCACTAAGTTATGCTTTTTCTATCAGAGATACAGTGACGTAGGACATTAACAACAGCCTCTAGTATTTATATACTTTAAAAAATGGCATCTAAAAAGTTAATTATGAACATATATACTATCTTACTGCCCCAAGAGAATGCACTGGTCATAGGAAACACCGTCTTCTAACAAAACAAGTGATGACTCTACACATGGACATCACCAGATGGTCAACACTGAATCAGATTGATTATATTCTTTGTAGCCAAAGATGGAGAAGCTCTATACAGTCAGAAGAAACAAGACCAGGAGCTGACTGTGGCTCAGATCATGAACTCATTATTATAAAATTCAGACTTAATTAAATTGAAGAAAGTAGGGGAAACCACTAGACCATTCAGGTACGACCTAAATCAAATCCCTTACAATTATATAGTAGAAGTGAGAAATAGATTTAAGGGATTAGATCTGATAGAGTGCCTGAAGAACTATGGATGGAGGTTCGTGACATTGTACAGGAGGCAGTGATCAAGACCATCCTCAAAAACAAATGCAAAAAACCAAAATGGTTGTCTGAGGAGGCCTTACAAATAGCTGACAAAAGAAGAGGCGCTAAAGGCAAAGGATAAAAGGAAAGATATATCCATCTGAATACAGCGTTCCAAAGAATAGCAAGGAGAGATAAGAAAGCCTTCCTCAGTCTGGATCAATGCAAAGAAATAGAGGGAAACTATAGAATTGGAAAGACGAGATCTCTTCAAGAAAATCAGAGACAACAAGGGAACATTTCATACAAATAATGGGCACAATAAAGGACAGAAATGGTATAGACCTAACAGAAGCAGAAGATGCTAAGAAGAGGTGGCAAGAATACACAGAAGAACTACACAAGAAACATCTTTATGACCCAGATAACCACGATGGTGTGATCACTCACCTAGAGCCAGACATCCTGGAATGTGAAGTCAGGTGGGCCTTAGGAAGCATCACTACGAACAAAGCTAGTGGAGGTGATGGAATTCCAGCTGAGCTATTTCAGATCCTAAAAGATGATGCTGTTTTTGAAAGTGCTGCAGTCAATATACCAGCAAATTTGGAAAACTCAGCAGTGGCCACAGGACTGGAAAAGGTCAGTTTTCATTCCAATCCCAAAGAAAGGCAATGCCAAAGAATGCTCAAACTACCACTCAATTGCCATCATCTCACAGCACTAGCAAAGTAATGCTCAAAATTTTCCAAGCCAGGCTTCAACAGTACTTGAACCGTGAACTTCTATATGCTCAAGTTGGATTTAGAAAAGGCAGAGGAACCAGAAATCAAGTTGCCAACATCTGTTGGATCATTGAAAAAGCAAGAGAGTTCCAGAAAAACATCTATTTCTGCTTTATTGACTATGCCAGCCTGTGACTGTGTGGATCTGAACAAACTGTGGAAAATTCTTAAAGAGATGGGAATACCAGACCACCTTACCTGTCTCCTGTGAAACCTGTATACAGGTCAAGAAGCAACAGTTAGAACTAGACATGGAACAAAAAACTGGTTGCAAATTGGGAAAGGAGTGGGTCAAGGCTGTATATTGTCACCCTGCTTATTTAACTTACATGCAGAGTACATTATGTGAAATGCCAGGCTGGATGAAGCACAAGCTGAAATCAAGATTACTGGGAGAAATATCAGTAACCTTAGATACACAGATTACACCACCCTTGTGGCAGAAGGCAAGAGGAACTAAAGAGCCTCTTGATGAAAGTGAAAGAGGAGAGTAAAAAAGCTGGCTTAAAACTCAACATTTAAAAATGAAGATTATGGCATCCGGTCCCATCGCTTCCTGGCAAATAGATGTGGAAACAATGGAAACAGTGAGAGACTTTCTTTCCTTGGCCTCCAAAATCACTACAGATGGTGACTGCAGCCATGAAATTAGAAGACACTTGCTCCTTGGAAGAAAAGCTATGATCAACCTAGACAGCATATTAAAAAGCAGAGACATTTCTTTGAGGACAAAGGCCCATCTAGTCAAAGCTGTGGTTTTTCCAGTAGTCATATATGGTGTGAGAGTCATGTATGGATGTGAGAGAAAGAAAGCTGAGTGCCAAAGAATTGACACTTTTGAACTGTGGTGTTGGAGAAGACTCTTGAGAGTCCCTTGGACAGCAAGGAGATTGAACCAGTCCATCCTAAAGGAGATCAGTCCTGAATATTCATTGGGAGGACTGATGTTGAAGCTGAAGCTCCAATACTTTGGCCACCTGATGCAAAGAACTGACTCATTGGAAAAAACCCTGATGCTGGGAAAGATTGAAGGCAGGAGGAGAAGGGGACAACAGAGGATGAAATGGTTAGATGGCATCACTGACTTCATGGACATGAGTTTGAGCAAGCTCTGGGAGTTGGTGATGGACAGAGAAGCCTGGAGTGCTGCAGTCCATGAGGTCCCAAAGAGTTGGAGACAACTGAGCGATTGAACTGACTGATACTATCTTACTAATCATACCCTACATTTGGTCAGAAATGCTCAGATAGCACTGGTTTTCTCACAAATCTAGTTATTTCCCATTTGCGAAAGTGTCCAGCACTGCCTTTCCAAGCTACAAACCTCACTGTCTCCTCTAGGCAGCTTGATTAGAGTCAGGAAAGGGTGAGGCCTCCACAAATCCTTTGTGGGCATTTTATTTCCCTCAGGACAGAGGTTTTCTCCCTGCTCAGCTTTTTGCTACCAGGCCATCATTGGTTTCTTAAGAACTGCTAACCTCCTTGCACTTTCACAGAGGACCCCTGCCATAGGCTTGCTCCGTACAGTCTTTTCTTAGAATTAATTTGGAAACTGGGCATTCTATCGATTTTAAACACAGCTATCTCATGCTTTTACCAGTTAATAAAGTCAGGTTTTGTATTTTTGTAAAATAAGTAAACTGTTTATTAATCAAGAAAATTCTGTCTTTCCTCATCAGAGACCCAGTGGTGATAAGATCGTTTTTTGTGCATTTAGTAGACTGGGAAACTTGTGGTGGACATTTATGGTGGCTGAGGTTATCTGGTGTAGTTGATGAACATGTTTGTCAGTGCTTACTTTATTTAGAAGTAAATGAAGTCTTAGCAGGGCTTCCCTGGTAGGTCAGCTGGTAAAGAATCCACCTGTAATGCAGATTGAACCTGGGTTCAATCCCTGGGTTGGGAAGGTCCCCTGGAGAAGAGAAAGGCTACCCACTCCAGTATTCTGGCCTAGAGAATTACATGGGGTCCATGGAATTCCATGGTATAGTCCATGGACTATAGTCCATGGTATAGTCCATGGGGTTGTAAAGAATCGGACGCGACTGAGTGACTTTCACTTTCACTTCATTTAGAACTTTGTCAGTGAGCGACCAGCATGCTGACGGACATCTGTGTCCCCTCCCAGCAGCTTTGTGCTCAGATTTTACAGGATTAGAGGAGAAAAGTTAGCAGTTTTGTTATTGCACATGGCAGGGAAGGTAGTTTCAGAAATAATTGCGGTTAGCTCTGAGGTTGATCCTTGTGATTTATTTTACTTGAGCACCTGAAACGCTTGGGAAAGTATGGAGTGACTTATGTTGTTCAGATTCTGCTTGTTTGCTAATTATTACGTGGGATGATAACCTTCTTTAGGTCAGTGTATTCTAGTCTCTAATATAAATGGGCTTTTTAATCACTGGAAATTCAGAATTTCTCACATTTTGTTTATCTTGTGTTTGTTTTTATTCAGGCAAACATAAATGGCCGTGTGTTGGCTCAGTGTAACATTGATGAACTGAAGAAGGAAATGAATATGAATTTTGGAGACTGGCATCTTTTTAGAAGCACAGTAAGATATTTTTAATACTTGTAGATTTACAACATTTTATAAAAGAAGTGCCAGTAAGTACTGGTCTAAACTGATATTTTCCTATATTTTAAAAAACATTTAAGAATGACATTTTACAGTTGTGTGTAGGGCTCTTGTGTGTCCTATTATGTAGAGTATATACAGCAGCACTTAGCAATATTTACTTTTGGTCATTTCACTTGGAAATATGGGAGAGGGGCCACTTGCCAATTCTCCGTGCTTTCATTGACCAAGACACTCTCCTTGACCTCATTCAGTCAGGCTTCTGTAACCCTCTAGGCCTTGACCTTGGTATCTGTTCTCGTTGGGTCTGCGTTGCCGAGTTGTGGCCAGAATTTTGTTAAGTCACTTTAGAAAGAACCTCACCCTTAATGTCTGATCACCTTCGATATCTGATCAAATTCCTTATCCCCCTTGCCTCCCGCCCCTGGTGATGTGCTAGACCCCTGGCCTGCCTCCAGCGTAAATCCTGTCAAGATGGTTCAGCTAGGAAACACCCCTCCCTGCTCCAGTACTCCTGAGGCTTCCTCTTTGCATCTTCCCATCCACTGAGCCCCTCACTCCTGAGCTGTAAATGTCCATGTGTTCATGCTGCTTTTGGAATTGAGCCCAGTTCTGTCCTGAGGTCTCCTTGTCCCACTGCAGTAGCTCCTACTGCTTTAGATGCCATCCAGCTCTGCTGCTCAGTGACACGCTCCAGTCGTGCTTCATCTTAATGTTATGTTACACTAGTAACACAGTGGCCAAATTAGAGTGTACTGCACGTATGATGATTGTCGTCATTCCAATCATCCTTTAGTATCTGGTGGGGGAGTGGTTCTGGGACCCCCCGTGATTCCAAAGTCTTTGTATGCACAAGTCTTTTCTATAAAATGGCATGGTATTTGCACACTACACACATCCTCTTGTATACCTTAAATCACCTACAGATTACTTAGAATACCTCATACAGTGTAAATGCTGTGCAAATAGTTTTCAGTGCATGGCAAATTCAAGTGTTGATTTTTGGAACTTTCTGAAATCTTTTTTTCCTGAATATTTTCAACCTGTGATTGGTTGATTCTGCAAATGCAAAACTACTGGATTCCGAGGGCCAGTTGTACTACCTTTAGTACAGATGATCCTTGAACAATTTGGAGGTTAATCCACTGACAACTTGCAGTCAGCCGTTTATATCCAGGGCTTCTCCACATCTGTGGATTCAGGCAGCCTTGGACCACGTAGTACAAACTGCCATCTCCACTATCGAAACACATCTGCAAGTACGCGGACCTGCACAGTTCACAGCTTTGTCGTTCAAGGGTCAGTTGTATTGTTAATATGAAAGATAAGCAGATATAGGACAAATTTATTTGAAATTCACTTACAGGAAGTTTGCTTTCTCATTTCCATCATAGTAACTTTGTGTTTAATTTTTAAAATAATTTCTAAAGCTTCTAAAATGTGATTTGTCCGCGTGGATATTGATGACTTTGTTTACTGTTAAGATATTAGAAATGCGAAATGCAGAAAACCAGGTGGTCCCTGAAGACCCACGTTTACTGAGTGAAAACAGCAACTCTGTTCCTCACGGTGAACCTGCTCGTCGCTCTGCGCACAGCGAGCTGCCCCACACCGAGCTCTCCAGTCAGGCTCCCTACACCCTGAACTTCAGCTTTGAAGAGCTGAACACGCTCGGCCTGGACGAAGGGGCTCCTCGCCACAGCAACCTAAGTTGGCAGGTATGTACTGGGATGCCATTATTTACATGAGCTGAAGAGGAAGGACGGGGTTGAATTAGCCGGGAATCTGTTGGTGCATTCAGATAGTCATTTAGAAACTCTTCAGTGAGTCCCCAGGTGAATAGGGTAGAGGGAGGCGGCCCTGTTTTCCAGGAGGTGTGTTCTTCTGGAGAGGACAGTCAACAAAACATAGACAATAACATTATTTCCGAAGATAAGAATTGTGAAAACAGTAAAACAGAGTAATGGCATTGAGGTAGATAGGAACTGGGCTCTCTAGGTGGTTAGCTGAATTCATCCATCACTTGCTATTTTCTTGTTCAATTCAGTAAGCACTGGCTTAAGATACATCTTCACAGATATTCATTTCCTTTTTATTATCTGATGTTAGACATGGAGGGGCTCTTTCTTTGGATGTTCTTAGAAGAGGAAGGACAGGCAAGGATCAGGATTAAAAACAAAAGTGAGAGAACATGAGAAGGAGAAAGGGGAGGACAAGAAGGAAAAACACTAGGAAAAGATCAGAGCAGGGCACAGAACAGAGGGAAGACAAGCAAGGGAGTAAAAACAGGAAGTAGTTACAAAGAACTCTATGGAAAGGGAACTGTATTTAGAAAAAGCAGTGCCTATTATGCCTGCTGTTTGTAAGGATGTGTTTGGTTTGGTTGTAAAAATATTTTGTTGTTACCTTTTCTTACCTACTATAAATCTTATTTCTTTAAGTTGGGAAAGCATTTTATTACTGTGCATTAATTAAGATAAAAATTTCTATATTTTTCAGTAAATTAAGTACACACTTGACCCTTTTATGTCTCTGTTTGAACAACCATGATCCCTTTATTTTCCCTGGAATTTCTTTGAACATTTCCTGAGAAATCCTCATCCTCCATACTTGGTGTTCCCACCATGCCCTGGCAGCTCTCCAAGCCTCCCTTCATTACTGCCACTCTCAAACTTATTTCAAATCTTAGAACCCTTTTACACTCTTAAAAATTATTGAAGGACCCCTAAAGAGCTTTTGTTTATGTAAGTTTTATCTTTCAGTATTTGCCATATTAGAAATAAAAACTGAGAAACTTAAAAGTAAACCAAGTATCTTTTAAACTAGTGTAAACCAACATAGATGACACTTTTATGAAAAATGTCTATTTTTTGAGAACAAAACATATTTACTGAAAATGATAATTGTGTTACCAATCTTTCAAGCCTGGCTTAATAGTAGTCAGCTAGATTCCCTTAGCTGCTTTGGCATTCAGTCTCTTGGGAGGTCACACATGAGGGAACCTCTGGGGACTCCACTGTGCATTATTGTGAGAATGCAAGTGGAAAGGCAAAGGTCATCTTCATATGCTTAGGAAAATAGTTTGGCCCTTGTGGATCCCGGGGAGGGGTACAGAGACTGCACTTGGCGTGAGGGAGCGGCCTCGTCTGCTCGGTGCTCGCTGTGTCTCAGGGAAGCTTCTTGGAGCTGGGTTAGTTCCCTCCTGTGCAAGGAAGACTCTGCCTTATTTCTGCTTTGTTTCAGCCTTGGCTCTTTCCTTTCTCAAACTTCCTTGATTCTTTTCTCTCCATTTCCTTCCTTTTTCCCCCAATCTTTACCTCTTACTCCTTGTGTATTACCTTCTCTGGGATATAAAGCAATTCTCATCCTAAAACTTCACATTGGAGATCAGACGTCTAAAACTATTTTATTTCTCTGTTTACTTGGACTTGACTGTTGACCTCATAGCTTCCATTTCTATTCATTTGGATCCAATATTCATCTTCTCCATTGCACTCTATACTTTTGCTCTAAAATTTTTTGTTTTTGTTTTTTTTGCATTTTGAGTACATTTACTCTCTCTGAATTGGAATTTGACAGAAACTTCATGTTGTGCAAGTTGAGAAAGGTTCTTTTTAACATACGTTGAAGATGTGAGTATTTTGTTCTTGAGATCCTATCTTAACTGTCATTTTCTTTCTCTTTTCTAAGAGGCACTTTTATATTTTATCAATGAAGGTGACTTTTGCCTTAAATAAATTTAAAAGTTTGAAATTATAAAAACAAGTCCTAAGGTGGTTAATATAACCTTAAATTATACTTTTAAATATTAACAGTAAACTAATTTTATTAAAATTTATATAAAGCTTTCTAATAACACTAAAATTGCTCATAAGTTCACAGCTTTGTTAAACTGTGTTATACAGAATTCTTTTAAAAGAATTTGGTATTTTTAACGACTTTAACAATTCTTACTGTCCATATATATATTTCCTAAGCTCATGTTTATTTTGCCTTTTTTTGGTTTGTTTGAATTCTTAAATTATTATTATTATTTTTTTTTGTCTTCACAGTCACAAACTCGCAGAACCCCAAGTCTTTCCAGTCTCACTTCCCAGGATTCCAGTATTGAAATTTCAAAGCTTACTGATAAGGTGCAGGCTGAGTATAGAGACGCTTATAGAGAGTACATTGCTCAGATGTCTCAGTTAGAAGGGGGCACAGGTTCCACAACCATGAGTGGCAGGTCTTCTCCACACAGCACGTATTACATGGGTCAGAGTTCATCCGGGGGTTCCATTCACTCTAGTCTAGAACCCGAGAAAGGGAAGGATAGTGAACCAAAGCAAGATGATACACGGAAGTCATTTCTGATGAAGAGGGGAGATGTTATAGATTATTCCTCATCAGGAGTTTCCACCAATGATGCCTCACCCCTGGATCCTATTACCGAAGAAGATGAAAAATCCGATCAGTCAGGCAGTAAGCTTCTCCCAGGCAAGAAGTCCTCAGAAAGGTCAAGTCTCTTCCAGACAGACCTGAAGCTGAAGGGAGGTGGACTGCGCTATCAGAAACTCCCGAGTGATGAAGACGAGTCCGGGACAGAAGAGTCAGACAACACTCCGCTGCTCAAAGACGACAAAGACAAGAAAGCTGAAGGGAAAGCAGAGAGAGCATTGAAGTCTCCAGAGCACAGCACAGAGCCCATTCGAACCTTCATCAAGGCCAAAGAGTACTTGTCAGATGCCCTCCTTGACAAAAAGGACTCCTCTGACTCGGGAGTGAGGTCCAATGAGAGCTCACCCAACCACTCCCTTCACAACGAGGCGGCGGATGACTCCCAGCTTGAAAAGGCCAACCTCATAGAGCTTGAAGATGACCCCCACAGCGGAAGACGGGGAGTCCCGCACAGCCTGAGTGGCCTGCCAGATCCCCTCGTAGCCCGGATGTCCATTTGCTCTGAGGACAAGAAGAGCCCTTCCGAATGCAGCTTGATAGCCAGCAGCCCTGAGGAAAACTGGCCAGCATGCCACAAAGCCTATAACCTGAATCGCACCCCTAGCACTGTGACCCTAAACAACAACAGTGCCCCAGCTAACAGAGCCAACCAGAATTCCGATGAGACAGAGGGGCTGAGGGAGATGCCCCAAGTCCTCCTGAGGTCAGGCTCCAGTTCCCACTCCACCGCTCTGCAGAATGAGAACCTGAAGAGTATGGCGCACAAGCGAGGCCAGCGTTCGAGCTACACGAGGCTCTCAAAGGACTCTTCAGAGCTCCATGCAGTAGCCTCCTCTGATAGCACAGGCTTTGGAGAAGAAAGAGAGAGCATTCTTTAAGAAGAACAAGCACAAGTAGAATAGCATTACTGTGCCCCTGTGACAGGACTGACCTGAGTTTTTAGTGACTCCATCTGTGCATGTTATTTGTGTCCATTTCACTCACAAAACCTTCATGGATGAGAAGATCTTGGGTAAAAGAGACACAGCAGAGGGAAGTGTGAGAAAGCCTGGCTCATCCGTCAGCCCCATTGTCTTTGTACTTAGAAGTATAAAATCCCACTCTTGTTATGACACCTTTCATCGGCATACAGCTGCAAGACAAGATCTGAGTATACAGATAGGTCAGAGAGTTTATTAAATATAAACTGAATTTGCCAACAAAAGTAACAAGCTAGAGATTCCTTTTGAGGAACATTCATTCACTAAATATTTGAGGGAAGACATGCTGCTGAGTGAACCAGAAGCACATTTTGCTCTTAAGGGGTGATAAGTCATGGAATAGCCTCTAGAAACTAAAAGTTAATGCTCTGTAAGTTGAGAACTGTGTTCTATATAACAGATTGCTTATCAAAGAGTTTAAAAATTGTAAGTAGAAAATATAAAGAGGGCTTTAAAAGTTGATAAAAGAGTGAGTCAACAGTGTCCAGAGTAGAGCCCCAGAAACTGGGCCCTTGTGAGCTGCTAGTAGGTTGGCCCGTGGGGCGGGGGGCATCACCTCCCTATGACCTAGATGTCCTTCTTTCTAAATCAGCAGACCTGTACCTAAATCAGCATATGAATTCTGGGGGAGGATCATAAGAAATACTTCTAGAAAAAAGTTTAAAGACATGTAACAAAGCAAGGGTAAAAAGATGACTCTTGTGTGACTTTTCATTTACTGATAGTGGAGTTAAGAGAATGGTCCCATTGAAGTGTGGTGTGGACTGGAGATGCCCCCTGCCATCATGTGTTGACATCTTTTTGGCCTTTTTAACATAACGTATCCATGTAGCACAATAATCTTCAGTCACAAATAGGATTGTAGATGTTGAGATCCTAGATGAGCAGTTACCTAAATGTGGTGTTACATTTTTGACATTTTCCACTTAACCGGATTTTTATTGACATGCTGAATGGTTTATTTGACCAGTTCTTGCATTAAAAAGTTGCCTCTTGTGGGTTTCGTTGCATTGCTGTTTGAGTGTAATCTAACATTTCCATGAAGCGTTTATTTTGCATGACCTTAACAAATGTTTTAATCAATTAAAAAAGAAGGCAGAATGTTGTTGACGATCTGTGTTGAAATGTTAACATTTTAGTATTTATAGTGTTTATTAGTTTGCAATATTGTGTAATCAGCAGTTATTTCAGGGGCAGTATTTTGTTCCTTTTCAGGTGAGTAGATACAGCTTAATATCATTGTAGTGTATTCTTTATTCTGTTTGTGAAGTTAATACAAGAGTATTAAGTGTACAAATAGATTTAGAACACAATAAAAAAATTGCATGCTATTCTGAGTCATGAATTTTTATTCACTGCAGTGATGATTCACATTTTGATTGAAAATAAAAAAGTAATTTGTGTGTTTGTTTTGTCAGAGGTCTAAAGCTCGTTGAAGATGTTCAGGTTCACGTAGCAGTCACGCAGCTGGCAGGAGTGTCCTGAGTGACTCTCGCTGGCTTTGGGAGTGCATGGCTGTTAGGTCCAGCGTCTCAATGGTGCTTTTGTGAAGCATAGCGCCCAAGCTCAGCTCTGTACCGTGCGTTTCTGTACCCACAAGAAGTGGGTTTTCCAGATCCTGGGACGATGTCAGTTTAATTTGTTGCATGAGCATCCTGGAAAAATTTGCTTTTTCACAGTGCTTTGGAAATTGACAAACCAGATGGGTTATTGAGTCGCACCATCATCTCTTCAAGTTTGTGTGTGTGTGTGTGTGTGTGTGTGTGTGTGTGTGTGTGTGTGTGTATCTGTATCTATTTATAACCTGTAGCCCAGCCTGACTCTCACATATGCAAAACTTTGCTGTAAACTGGGTGAAAAATGACAGAAAAGAATCAGTGCTCTAAATTTGCCAGTCCCTTAAGAGTCTGCCTCAGTTAGCGTCTTGCCGTGTTTTGTAAACTGTTTTACCTTTACTTTAAGCCACAGATAGTTTTGTCCACATAGCTAATGTTAAGGCAGATTCATTGACCACAGACATGTGGGGTGGTACCCGTGAGAATGGCCTTGCTGTCGGAGAGACTGGAAAAGAACTGATGCTCTCTCAGTTGATACAGCTTTCATGATGCTGGGTGTTTAAGGATCAGCTCTCAAATTTGGGGAAACTTAAAATTCCTAACAACCATTTTCAGTATTAACATGAAAACTTGTTTTTGTCTTGTATTTTATTTATGCAAGTTTTACACAGCAGTCAGAATAAGTTTAATTGCCTAGTCAAATAATTTTAGAAACTTATTTGCTAAAATTCTTAAATTGAGAACTCTTTAGATCACCTGCATGCTATAGTTCTGAGTGAAGTATATTTGTAATCATGATTTTTTTTCCCTTACAAATACTAAGTGTATTAGAAAATATTTGTGAATGAAATTAAATCTCTTATCCTTCTGGCTAAAATACTAAATTTAAAAGGTTTTAAGATTACATAATTTTTGGCTATACCAGGAATTCTCAGCCTGTTTAGAAGTATCCTAGGTTAAAAATCCCTGAATTCCTGGTTAACTCTTGAGTAAAATCAACACAGCTACCAGGAAAGGAGAACCAGAGGGCACTGTCCCTTCAACTTTATGGAGTGACATTGAGAAAATAAGCTGGTAAAAGAAAGGAGCCATGAAATTAACTTCTTTGTACTTGAGACTGAATATATCTAGGCTCCCTCACTGCTTGCCCTTCTGGAATTATGCTGACACTTGGCAGAAGGGAAGGAACAGCCGATGGGACTTTTTTGCTTGGGGTAGGGGTGGAGGGGTGACCAGCCTGGGTGGGCTACCTGAAATGATTGCATTTTTGATTTCCAGGTTCTGGTGTCCCTAACCCTTCCCTAACTCAGAATTCTAAGCATAGGCCATAATTTTGTAAATGAATTGGGAAACATAAATTACTCTAAATTGAGAGCCTCCCCTTGGATGGTCTTTTAATGGTTCATCACTTCAGAGAGGTTGAGAATCCTTGGTTGAGACTGATTAACTAGAAGGCGAATTTAAAATCTTACATATCTTAAACCCTTTCATGCCTAGGAAGAAAATGCTGCCTTTGAGATAGATAGATCTTCCGAGGGATCCGGTTTAAGCTAAGGTATGTAAAAAATTAGTTTTCAAGGTCATCAGTTTTAAACCACCACTGAAACAGTTCTTACCAAGAAGAGAATTAATATTCTTACCACTTTAAAAAGAATTAGGGTTAAAAGTAAGAAATCAACAACCACTGTCACCGATATGGTCAGAGACTTTTAAGTAGAATGGCAAAGCACAGCCTTGGTTAACGCCATGCTGCTGTGCCCTGCTCTGGGGGTGAGAGGTTTCTTAAAAGAGCAAGAGCTCTTTGACCAGGTCTGGCTGACTCTGTGGTGAGCGCTGACTCTCCAGTTACAGTGAGGCATTAGAAAACAAGGAATTTATAGGCATAAGTGGATCCATCAAGAAAGGAAAACAATGATTTCCAGACTATTAGTAGAACGACGACTCAAAGTCAGTAAAACAGCGTGTGGTTTGACCTCCCTGAAGTGAGAACCAACCAAAACTGGCCAAAACTGTGAATTACAATGATACTGTACAAGAAAAGCAGTGGGACTGTCTTGAGGTCCACAGAATGTTCTGACAATGTTTATACATGGTGATCAGCTTGTTTATAGAGACTACGGTTAGGTCCTTAGTTTCCTGAGGTTAATATGCTTTGTGTAATGTTACTTCCCGCCTGCCTATGCAGGAGACGTAAGAGATGCGGGTTTGATCCCTGGGTCAGGAAGATCTTCTGGAGAAGGGCAAGGCAACCACTCCAGTGTTCTTGCCTGGAGAATCCCAATGACAGAGAAGCCTGGCGGGCTACAGCCCATAGGGTTGCGGAGAGTTGGACACGACTGAAGTGACTTAGCATGTACAGTGTTCTTTACACCAGTGACATATAATATGAGCCCTTTCTTAGTTTTGCCTGGATTTAACAAAACACAAAGCAATCTTATCAAATGATTATTAGAACTTGAATAAAATTTTACTTTAAAAAAACATTGAATTCCATGCTCCCTGTTATTCAAATTTAGTTGCTTGAAATAAGATCATCTTGATTACCCACCATCGTTCTCTTAATTTTAACATGTGTTTTATACTTATTTACCTCATTTTCTTTCAAGGCAACAGGGGCTCTAGATCTTAGTACCCTGCTCATAGACCATTCCTTCTGACAATTCGGTTACCTTCTCACAGTTGTTGGCTCCTCACCAAATACAAGGGGGTAAAGAAGAGACCACCTACTACTACTCAGTGATCCTGCCTCCGGTTGGTTGGAGAAGAGAGATTTGTCATTTCTGCCAGTTTTCTTTGTTCCACATAGTTGTAAAATTTGAATTCATTTTAATGAAGTGTTTCTTTTAGAAAATTTTAGGTAAAAGCCTGAATGTATATAGCAAAATGCATGTAAATAAACTCCTATATAACTTGGCATTTCTTATATAATCTTCTTGGTCAAGTGTCTAATAAAAAGTTAGACTGTTATTTTCAAAATTACCATAGTTCCTGACACTTGCACTCATTATTTGTGTTTCAGAGAATTTATAGACTGTATATTGTTACACTTAATGCAAATTAAACTTTTTATTTTTAAAGAATTTATTTTCTTTTTGAGTTCTTTGTGTTTTTCATGTTTTACCTGAGTTTTACCTGAGTTCACTGAGTCCTGTGTTTTACCTGAGTTCACTCTTTTGTGTCTTAAGTTGTTTTTCTTTTTTTTTTGGTTGTCATGTGTTCATCCATTTTACCATAAAACACTCCTTAGAGTATTAGAATGGGAAAGAACCTCAAGAATGCCTGGATTTCAGATGGCCAGGGGACACACAGTCAGTACTTCATAAGGGAGTGAATAAGGAATACCTGAACTAGGAGAGTTTGCCCACAAATCCTAAAAATACTGAATTTGAATGCCTTCAGACAGTATGTTTATGCTGTAGTTCCTTACAGACCTTGCCCTCCCCTCCATTCAGTACAATGAATGGTGTTGTCATTTTAATAATATTAAGCTCTCCCCCACTTCCCTATCACCTTATACCCACCTGCTACCTGTCTGACTGTATAAACTTTTCTGTTTATGACTGGGAATTTTTCAGGACATGATATCATGCATTGCTAAAAACTCAGGGAAGAAGACCTACGGCCCATCTTGATGAATGCTGTCATGGTAAAGTGCCAGGCTGTCTGCTCTATGTGGATGTATTTTAGCCTCCGTGTGCCTTAGCCTTTTGTCTAGTCCTTTGTGGAGATGCCCGTCTTATAAATTAATTATAGAATCAAAATGGTTTCAGTTCAACATTTTACTTCAGGATACTGAAGATATTTTTACTTATATCTTTGCAACAATGAGCATATTTTCCCTGAGCCCAAGTTGCCCATGTTGTTACAGTGGGGGTAGATAACATCAAGACCATTTCCCCCCCACCCCCCCCAAATCTGATACCTAGGTTTACCCTTTCTCCAGCTCAAATTTTCAATGCTTTTGTTTCCCCCTGGTAGGGACAGTTATTATTTTCATTGCCTACTGCTAATTGCTGTCTCTCATTCCTTATCTCAGGCTCACCACTCTGATAAATTTGAACTAGAATACATAAATTATACTGGGATTCTGTGCCAAATGTTTTATATTTGAGTGGGCCATTTTGTGTGAATTGAAAATTTCTTTATTAAAGTAGGCTAACCACTCTTCCAACCACCTCAAAATCTCATGGACTTAATACATTTGAGGTTTGTTGATTGTTCCTGTAACAGTTCAGTGTTACCTAAGTTGACAAAGATTCAGGAGCCCAGGCTTCTTCACTTTGTGGTTCTACCAGCTTCCAAGGCTGAATCCAGGGTCCTTTGCCCCATCTGCATTCTGTTGATACAAGGGGAGGAGAGAGGGGTGAGGCCCACACAAGAGAAGTTTATATCATCCAGGTATGGAAGTAGTGTTTGCCCATTCCACTGGCCTTCCTAGGCCCCTGGTTGTGCTGAGCTGCAAGGGTGGCTGCGGAATTAGGTGAACTGTACGCCCTGGAGGAGGAGCGAGTGTTTTGGTAGCTCATGGGCATCTTCCCACGTAGATATCTGACATGGATGTTCTGGATTCAACACTGTGTCGCATCTTGTTTTCAACTTTGGTCACAGTATTTTTTTTTTAAGGCATCTCTTAATTTTTGCTTTGTATGCAGTTTTCATGCTGGTAAGGAAGTCTATTAAAATCGTAGCACCTAACCTGGAAGATTTTAGGATTTTAAGGTAATTTTCAACTGGTTATTTCCATACATCTGAGGAACTTTGCAAGTTTCTAATATTGAGCAGGCTGCAGAGAGAATTAAGCAAGGTTAAGAACGAAAAGAATCAAGTTTCACAATTTCTCTAGAATCCTTTTTTATCCAAAGACTCAGACCATCCATAATCTTCCTGATTCTTAAAATTTGATTACAGAGCAAGACTCTTGCAAGAATCTATCCTTTCAACATGCTTCCTCCTGGAAGAGCGGCAACTGGACCTGGTTGCTTCTCCTTGTACCAGGCAGATGTGGCAGGAACATGGTCCTGGGAGGCCCCTGCTCCCAGCACAGGGACTGGGAATTAAACAGAAGCTGAACTTCTGTCAGTGGGCACTCCCATCTGGGAGCAGCTCCCACACTTAGAAAGCAGTGCGAAAATAAGACTTTATGTTTACCATTTTGTTTTTAAACAAATTGATCTGCAATCTAACTCTGTTGACCACTTTCAGTTTTTTTTGTTTGTTTGTTTTGTTTTTTCCTATTGGTATTTCATCAATTTCAAGGTACAGTTTTTCACACCTTGACTTTTCTGAAATATCTTCCATAACACCAATGGGAACATTAATGTTCCCATTTTTCCTTCAGTGTTTCCTAAACTAGTGACACATCCCACAGTTGATGGAGTCTTGTTTGGATTGATGAGACATATTATTTTATGCTGTGGTCATGGTGAATTGTATCTTTAGCAATAGTAATGGACTAGTGATGGTTTACAGTCAACTGATCCCCCAAATTGAACATTTGATGTTGAATATTTGTTTTATTAGTTATTCTGTATTCATTTTGGATAATGTTGTACATTTATTATAATTTAAAAGTTTACATTTATTGAACACATATGCCTCATATTGCTCTATAATCTCTCTATATATTAACTAATCTCCACAACTTCATGAATTAATTACTATTATCCTCAATTGACAAATTGAAAAACTGAGTAATTTCCCAAGGTCATACAGTTTCTAAGTGGCAGAGCTAGGGTTCAAGCCCAGGCAGTAGACTTCAGAAGGCCCACTCTTATATTACATTTATCTGCATTGTTCTTTAGCTAATTGGGGATGAGTCAATTTTTATACTTCTTTCAAGATAACACTTCAACTTAATTTGCTGTACCATTACCATTGTCTACTTGTTTTAAAATAGGGTTTGGGGTTTAAGAAAAAGTCTTAAAAAAAAAATCTATAGTCATGTAAATTACATATATAGGGAAAATTCTTTTTTTTTAAACATCAAACATCTTTATTCCTACTAGTTATTTTGGAAAATGTTTAATTTTTGGTTTAAAAATCTTTAACTTTTTTTTTTAACATGCTTTACCCCATTATTCATGGATTAGACCATCACATTAAAGTTGTACATAGTGCTGAATATATTAATTTTATTTGTAGTCTTGTTATATGATTTTCATATAGTTGCCCTTCTATATGCCTATTGTCAGTATTCTGTGTTAGATTGCAATCTTAAATACCACTATATGTATTTTTCTTTATATTCTATTATTAAAAATACTAATACCTAATAAATGTTAATAGATAAGTAATGTATATATTGCCTATCTAAAAAATCATTACTGCAGCAGTTTTTTTTTTTTTTTTTTTTTTAATGATTCTGGTCACTGTCTCCTAAAAAGAAAAGAAAATAGGCAAAATGAGACTTTCTGTCTCTTAATGTCAGCGAGTCACTAAAGGCAAGAAACCAATAGACACATCAATAATTGTGGATTGAGGTGGTGGTGGGTGACAATTTAGTTCTATATAATAACCTGCCTAATAATTTGAGTGCTTATTCAAGCCAGATACTGTTACAGGCATTTCACATGGATTAACTCATTAAATCCTAGCAAGTATATGCTGTCATTGTCCTCAGTATAGAGATAAGGAGACTGGAACACAGATGTTTAACTTTTACATGACAACAATGCATTAGATTTTTATAGCTGTTTCCTGAACTACTGACATAGTTATCTTAACTTTGAGAAAACCAAAGCCTTGGCAGTTTGAGACCCTTCCATCCCCCTGCCCCCAAGGTCACTCAGCTAGTAAACAGGACAAAGACAGCAGCCCTGGTTTTCTGACTCCAAATCTGATGATTCTTCCAGCCCACTCCATTTCTGCCAGTAGCCATCACTCTGTCCTCCATGGGTCTGCGGTGCTGCTGTTGCCCATATTCCATTGCTGCAGAAAATGTTAGTGGAGAGTATTAAACACGCCCATCTTCACACTTTGCAGGACGAGTCCTAGTTTTCCCAGGAAGCTCTTCTCCTTTCTCGGTCCTCTCCTCCTGAGCCCGGTAGCCTCAAAGCCAGCAGTAAAGAAGCCCAGCTCTGTAGGCTACCTGGGCCTTTAAATCCTTGCGTATATCGAAACAAACCCTCTGTCTGGTTCCACTGTCCTCATTGACCGATCTCCTAAACTGGTGCTGGGGGGCGGGGTGGGGAGTGTGTCAGAGTGTGCCTGTGCAATTGTGTATTTAAATGTGACCTTGCCATCACTGAATGCCACCTTAAGCCCATCACTGAAACCCCATAGCATCAACGGAAGTATTTTTCCTTCAGTGTTTCCTAAAAGTAATGAGACAGTGACAGCTGATGGAAACACTATCTGTGAGGTCTGTCCCTGGTGATGTACACAGCTATAAGTCATTACTTTTCACTGCAAAATAGTATTCTATTATATGAATATGTATAACTTCTCTGTTTACCTTATTGGATATTGGGTTGTTCCCAATTTTCATTGCAAGGTTTGTATGACTGTGCATTATATGTCTCCTGTTGAACTTGTGCAAGAGTTGGGACTTTTTCTGACAGATTTCTGGATTTGAGTTATTTTTTAAAACTTGTACTTTTGTGATCACAAGAAAATCACAGGAAGAAAAGACTCTCTTGGTTTACTGAGTCACTAAACGTCCTCAGAGACAGGTCTAATCGGGATTGTTGTGACAATCATGAAACCTTAACTGAGGTCTCAGGGGCTGGGAGTGAGTGAACATACAAGGGGCCTTGTATTTTGAGACGAT